TTACATAATTTATGTGCTCTCCAACTATTTTAATGGGATATTTCTCTACAGCTCACTGTGTAAGAAACATTCCTGCATTTTCGAATACCAGCAACTCGCTTCATTCTTCTTCTTTTTTTTTCGTTGGTTTTTTTTTTCGATTTGCTTTGCGGGAAATCCAGCAGTGTGCCTGTGCACACAATCAAAATGTCTCTAGATGTGGTTGGCATTCATAATGCAGCAAGCGTATCTTTGATTATATCCACTTGAAATAACGCTGTTTTAACACAATTATTTTTTGCGCGATAGATCGTACTGTGCAATAACTTAATAAAATACACGATGCAATCAGTGAGATGGAGAGGAAGAGAGAAGAAAAAATGAAATATAATGCCCTTCATCAGACCGTCGATAAATTGAACGGGTAGTATATCACAACAACAAAAAATAAATTACAAGTAAACACACCATAATTGCAGCCACTATCATTTTTCGATCAAGCTCAATTGAAGCCGTCATCGTTGATATTTGTTAATAATGATGCCTGTTTTACAATGGCCAGTTACAAATTACTTTCTTCAACTGGTTTTTCTTTTTGGTTCGGCGATAGAAAGACTTAATTTTGATATGCTTTTGCTTCGATACGATTGGTACCGAATATAAAATGACTTTAAGGTTGTGGCTAGAAAAATTAACCATAAATTATCCGTCCACCAACCAATCCCAAATGTATAATTTATTTCATTATTATGTAGAGCGACTACATGTTTTTCTACTAAAAAAAGAAACTATCGAGATCAATATTGTTGGGAAAAGGAAGAAAGCGATAAAAAAACAGTCACTGTCAACATGCGACCATCGTCATCGAATCAATGACGATTTATTACAAAAGTTCTTTGTCTGTTGTCGTGTTTACAACAAAAAATCAGAAGAAATTCCAAAATGGCCCGATGTGTTCTTTGAACCACTGTTCACTGACGACCAAATTAAAAATGCAAATTAAAAAGATGAATCTATGGGCTGCGAGTGGTAAAGGTCTTGAGATAATAAAGTTCCGTTAAAATGAAGAGACTCCAAATGAAGGAAAATGGTTTTAGTTTTGGCCATTTGTTAATTTTTAATTATATATCCCTGTTTATCGCTCATTTGCATTGCTCCATATCAGTTTGCATACAATTAAAATCCATTGCGTTGCGTTGTCCGCAGCTTTAGTTTTGTGTGCATAAGCACAAGTTTGTAATTTAAAGGCAATTGAGCTTGGTGTACGTCCTAATTTCAACCCATTAACCGAGAATTGTGGAGTGCGTGTATCTCGTTATTTTATTCTTTTTTTTTCTTGTTTCAAGTGTTTCGGCGCCGACGAACACATACACATACACTTGATGCTTTTGTTAGATTAATTTGATGAAAATGTGGTGTACTTGATGCAAAGCACCGAATCCAGGCAATAGCAACACAGTACACTCACTTTATCTAGTTTTCGCCTTTCTATACAATTCACGGTTCAACTGCAATCAAGATAAACAACTTAGGCGAACGGAACAACTTAGTCGGCAATGCTGGGTCGTCAGTGATTATGAAAAAAAAAACTTTGCCCAGACACACTCTTATTCTCACAATGTGAGTGCATTTAAATCAAAACAATACCTGCAATAGTGGTGAGTCTGGTAAAACAATTGCGATACAAGAGTCGAAATACATTTGTCGCGCTATGTGCGTGCTTGCCATTACCAGAATAATTTTTAAGGAACGTGACATTTTCATTGCCATTGGAAAATGGAAATGCAAATGTTCACATAGAGACACATACCGCGCGACCACTACAAAGTCAACGAAACAAAGCGTCAACATTTTTGCGTTGAAACTCACACGGATGAATTGTGAAATCAGTATTGTGCCCTTGGATGAAAGAGAAAAAAAGAATAAAACACAGCCGCAAAACACATTGAATGATAAAACATGACATTTTTTCTATGCTTTCTCAGTAGAATTCTTTTTATTAATAATTCAAAAAAGAGAAAAATCGGATTTTTGTTGAAATTATATTGTGATATCTTCAATTTGAAAACGGCTTGACTTTGTTTACTTTAGATGATAATGAATTGATTCTTTATTTTAAATTTGTGTTTGTGATTTATTTTAAATTTGCTGACATAGTATAGGTTGAGCTACATGCCCAAGTTTATGTTTGTTATCGATTTAAAGAATGACGAATGAGAATGTGCTATTTCTCTTTTGTTTTGTTTTTTATTTATTTCTTTATTTTGATCGGCATATAATGAAAAAAAAAATGTGGTAGAAAAAATGACATTGTGTTTTAACGAATGAATTCATATTTTGATTTACTTTTAACTCAAAAGTAAAATGTTTGTTGCTGAAGCTCAATTTACTGGCAATCAATCCGTTCCAATGTCACGTATCCATTTTGGGCACTTTGCCAATTTCCACATAAGGTTGTTGTCAGGGATGCGTCGAATTCTGGGGATGAATCGGGGAACCGGCCCATTGGACTGTTCATCCAAGTTTCACCAAAATCGAAACAAAACTTCTTTAGCATTTTGCATTTATTTACAAAACCGACCATTTCTTCCGTCGAAAATTTTGATGCTTTCATGTTGACTTCCTTCACAAATGGCAGTAAACTTGCCAAACGTAATTTCTGTTCACCACTTATAAGGATTCCATGTACTGAATCGATTGTTAGCTTGATGAGTTGTGTATTTTGTCCGATGTAGTCAGTAAGTCGCTCAAACAATTTCAACGTGATATATCGCCAATATAAATTCCTGACTACTGTAATTTGAAGCTCATCAAGATGGTCAAACGTTATTTTTGGAAGTTCTGGAAATTCATTTCCTGGACCGCGATCCGCTGTATTACCGGTCTGATCGACTGAAACAATGTTGAACTTGAACTGTTTTACACTTTTGAAATGAACTTCTTCGTGCCGGGGAATATCATGTCTCATGTATCTGAAGTTAACTTCTAGCTGTTCAAGCCGGGTCAAATATTTGCTGGCAGATTGAAGTACTGTCGTATTCAATTCACTTTTGATGTACAAACTGCGTATCATTGGGTTCAAACGCATGAATTCGGTGAAGTTTTCTTCGACCAAATTACTTTTTTCATCAAATCGTACAGCCACATATTCCAATTTGGGAAAATGAACGGCAATGCTTTTGGGATCATTCAATTGAACGACTTCCAATTCCAGGTGACGCATTTGCGGAAAACATCGATTAAAATTAACCAACGCATTACCCAAATCACAATGCAAAAATGCAATCTTTTCAACTTTGGTAAATGGTTTTGCCAAATTTTCCATCATTCCTTTCGAACAATTTTCCAACCGCAGTTCCACCACCGAATTTGAACCATATTTATTGACATAACGATTCAATTCCGGCATCCATTTTTTATAGATGGCACCATCGATTTTCTTGTACGTAATATAGACTGATGAAACAAGATGACCAAAGCAACGCATCAACTGTAAACAGGATTTTAAAGTGTTGACCCAAATGCAGTCGTCCATTAAATTTGTCTTGAATCGACTGAATGACTTAATGGTACCATCCAATTTAATTGGTTTTTTGCCAAATTTTCTGCTGAATACCTCGTCGGTGGCCGGTACAAATTTTTTGCTCGAATCAACGACATTCATTAGATCGTTGAGATCCAAGTACAAAAAAATGTATTGTAGGCAATCGTTATTGACATCAGTGATTTTAGTGGAACTTAACACTTCTTCAATATTTTCTTGTCGCTTATTACGCTTGCCACTTCTTGTATTAGGAAGGATACGTCTTTTTCGTAAATTCATCGCTCAGATTTCGGGTAGCAAAATATGAATTTAAAAAACACACAATTTATTTTTCAATAGAACGTCTGACTTGTTTGCTGGTTAACTAAAAACTAATTTTATATGAAGATCGTAGAACCAATCGGTTGCTACCAATATACAACTATTTAGTTAGACTTTGACACTTGTCATTAATGAAAACAGGGCAAAGGCTAATTAGTAATGCGTGAAATCTACACAAAGGTGTAAAATCAGAGTTGCCAGATAGTATGTATATATCACAAATGTCCACACAATTTTGAAAAAAATGGAAGGTGGGTCGTTTTAAAATAAAAATTGGACTGTTTTGATGTACAGCCTACAATCAACTGATTTATTAATATTCTTTCAATATATTACATAGATTCGTATTTTTGTATGCATTCGATGCTTTCCTTCAGAGAGTAGATAACATTATCTCTACAGTAATATACTATATTAACAGTACCTATTAATAGTTATACATATTATATAGTATGCTTCTTGAACACATTCCGATTGTGCGGCGACAACAGTTTTTGTGAACTCTAGTAATTCACGGTTTATTGATAAACAACTTAGGCTGTATAGTAATGTCGACATTAGAAAATGAAAATGCAAATATACACACATACCGTTTTGCGTACGACCTCCGCAAAATCTTTTCAGTTCACATGAATGAATTGTAGTATCAGCACTTGAGTGAAAGAGAAACATATACAGCCGCAAAACATCCTGAAAAAAAATCGTATAATGGCATTTTTTTCGTCGCTTGCTTTCTTGTCATTGTGAATGAAATGTTTTGTCATTGTCATTGCCATTGTCATGGTTATTTTCAATGGAGGTGACATCGTTCGTCGCTTAATTCAACCGACTCTGGTTTATAGTTTGAAAATGCCATGCATTCGAAAAGCGTTGAAAATTCTTTTGGTTTTCTTTTTACCATGAAATATGCTTTCGCAAATTGCGATTGTGTTATGCTCTTTTTTTTCCATCTCATCATGTAATTTGCGTATGAATCGCTCCATTTATGAAATGAAAAATTTCCGAAAAAAAAAAAATTCACCGCGAACATGCCAATGAAGAAAACAAAATATGAATTTCGAGATTACTTAGAACAAGAGACAAGATAGAATGAAATATTTATGGACATTCATTTTAACCAATTTGTGTGTGTGTTTTTTTTTTCTTCTCATTTCAGACTGAGGATATTCAGAAATTACAGTTGATTCCGTTGCAAAAACCACTCATAACTTCAAAACATTTGCATGAAAAACTCGTTCAGCCAGAAAATGATGCGGTTGGTGTATCACAGCCGTTGCACAACAATGTCGACATTGAACAACATGTATCCACAGCGACCGATGTTGAAAAGCCACTACAATCGTCTCAATCAGCGATCGATTTAGCGAGAGCTCAATTGGGTTCCGTGGGCGACAACGAACCACTGGTACAAGATGAGACGACGGCGACGGCGATGACGACGACAACAACGACGGCAACAGCCTCATCAACGGCTGCAAAATCGCAGAAATCGATTAAAAAGGACATCAAACGAACCAAACGACTCGAGAAAAAACGATTGAAACAACAACAAAAACAACTCAAGAAACTTAACAAGAAAGCAAAGAAAGAAAAAAATAACAATAATAAAAATAATCGCAAACCAAATGATGAGACCAACAACGATAGCAGCAGTAGTAATAGCAAAAAGACGAACGAAGCCCTTCAATCGAATTTGAAAAATCGTTCGCATACACTTCGTGAGCCAATAGTGCCTAGAGCAAAATCGAAATCACCCGTAAATGTAACATTTGCATTTGATACAATTGAACATAGTAGCGATGCAAATAACCACGATCAAATCGTCGTTCTTCATCATTTGGCGCACAAGGATATCGTTCACAGTGCCAACCACATTGGCAATGGTGACGACGTTGTCGTCGGTGGCAATGCCACTGATGGCAAATCAAATGGCGAATACGATTCGTTGCCATTGATTAAGGTTGAGAAATCAGCAGACATCGATATGGACAGTGATTTTGCCGAGAAAATCGATGGCAATGGTAATGTGGTCATTGCAAATGTTATACTACCCATATCGTGTAGTTCATCTGACAGTATTCCATTTATAGACGACAGTCCGAATCCAAGACGTGCCGGCTGTTCGATTCCAATTGAACCGCACAAAAATCTTTATGATAGCCGATTTATAACATTGCAACCGCGAAATATTGGCGCACAAAGTATGATTTATGCACGAAAATTGGAAAAACCATTGCCAATTGCCTTTAAAATACCAACGAAACGGGACCAATTCGATAAATCAGCACAAATTTTATATCAATCGCTCAAAGAATCCATCGACCATCATTTTGATCGTGTTGCTCATTTACACAATAAGTTATGTCAAGTTTGTCACGAATTCTTACTTGTTCCGGATGCTGTTAAGTGCCTCACTTGTGGAATCGTTTGCCATCACAGCTGCACAATGCCACAGGTAACAATAATTTCGATTTATTCCTATTCAAATTCAGTTTGGTGCTTTAAAATCGAATGAATGAACCAGTTTCACTCATTGCTGTTTTTTTTAACTCAAACACCCAACGAGATTTGTGTCTTGACTACATTCACTCAAAGCTCTGGCCGGATTTAACTCATGCGATAGATGGCGTGATTGTGAATGAATTTGAAAAAAAATTTCATTTCATGTTATTTCTATTTTGAGACGAATCTTTTTTTGTTTGCGTTTATGCGTCTTAATTCGATAATGATAGCGTCAATTGGTGGAATGGAAAATGATTTGATATTCATTTTTCCTGTCACAAGTCAAATCTGCTTGCCATGCACACACGCATCTTATTTCCGATGATCAATCAACATTATTCATGCAAATGAGAGTGATATGCAAAACATATGCCATCATTATAGCTTCGTGCATTGTTTTTTTTTGTTCTTATTTTGCATGCGTTGTTCGCATTAAAATTTGCATTTCTCGCCATTGAACAAATCAATAAAAATTGCAACAAAGCTCACACATTGTTTACGTTAGTCAACGCACTACATAAATAAAGAGTATATCGTAAATTGAAGGAGAAAAAATATGACCGAGAAAATAAATGTTGTCATTTGAAAATCACATTTTAATTGCGTCGTTTTTTCTTCTGTTCGCATCACATTTTCTGCAAGTGCAAATGAGCGAGAGTAAAATGAGTAACTGCATCTGGGCTCGGGTGATTAATTCCATTCTTCATTAGATAGTGCATAATATTGAAAAGAAAATTATGATTAACACTTGCGCATAATCACATTGAATCCGCAAGGCATAAACCTGATATACGTTTATCATCAAGATATCATATTATGTGCATGCGAAAATTGTTTTGCATATATGGCTCATTTCCCAGCTGAGAAGCAAGGAGGAAAACCAGGCGGCCAAGCGAGAAACCGAAGGAGAAACAGAGAGAGAGAGATAGATAGCAAAAGAGAGCGTTCGCCTTAAAGTGTAACTGTATGAAAATCTAATCTCAATGCGATTAAACGCAAATCATATGAAAAATCGACTTACAAGCACAATGTAGCAATGTACGTATGTTTGTGCCTGAAGTGCGTCTCGAAGGAGAGCAAAAAATATACATAAATGCGCTTACAAAGATGAAGTGAGCCGGAGAGATTTAATGCAATGACAACCCGGTGTTGTGTTGTAAAAGAAATTGCGACGAAAATCCATCGCGATTATGTGAAAGAACATATTCACAGTTTCACACTTGTATCTTAACAAGATAAATGTTCTTCAATCCGTTTGGACAAACAAGCATCAATTATGCATATAAACCAACTGAAGCGTTTGAGCGTTGAGCACAAGCAGAAAATAAAATCATAAATATCGAAACGGTGTGTTCTAATGCTGTTGCATTTGGAATGTTTGCTGAATATACGCTATGACAATGATGGAGTCGCGCGTAAGCTCTTCACACAGTGAAATTGCTTCGTTTTGCTTACAATGGAAACGAAAACAACATATTAGACGAAAGTAACGAAAAAAAAGCATTGGAATTTGCACACCGAAGTTCAAATATAATATTCGTTCTGTTTGTGTATCGAGCTCAAATGCCAGAGGGGTACATGGAGTCGACATGTAAATGGCCAAACAAACGATTTACATTTTAATAGAAATATAAATCATTCGAATGCAAAGCATAAACAAATTACTCCATATGCATGCGATTAAATCGCTTTGTCGACACACTCTCTCGCGCACTGCCTCATATCAATAACTTTTCTCTCTCTCTTCTTCGTTTCGTTCTGCCTTCTTTCCTCAACTCGTTCAAACGTTTCAATTGAAAACATCGCGTCTACCATCTAGTTCATTACAGTTTTGTTAGATTTTCTGCCTAACAAATCGACTCATACGCTGTATTTCCATTTTCCAATAAATACAAAGTGTGAAAGAGATAAATAACAAACGAAATATCTTTGCTTGAATCCGATAAAAGATGAAGGGAATCAAGTCAAAGCGATTCGTCTCCGATGAGGTGAGTTGGAGGGAGAGAGCGCTCACGATTCTCATGTGATATTGGAATGAATCGTCAGCTCATTTTGCAAATTGCTCAAACAATATTGCACTCTCATAAATTAGACATTCAATCGCGTACCCATATCGCATCGCGTCATTTTAAGTGGCTGCTTGTGTTCGTCTATGTGCATTTGATTATTATTTGTCTCAGTGCGCGCAGAGACAAAGTAAGACACAGAGATAGTGTGTGTGTGTGCAAACGATTTATTTATTCATATTTTTTTCGGTACGTGCCACGAAGCCCAAGTCAACATCTGAATCGAATAAAACACGTTAAAGTCTTCAGACCTAATCAACGATAGAAATCGCTTACTATAGCTGGTTGGTTTTTGGTTGGTTCGTTGGATTGCATTTATAGCTTTTTTGCACACAAAGATTTGATTTAAATAGAAATCGCAAAAGACTTTTTGATGCTGCATTTCGAAATTTACAGCTAAAGTTGTTAATCTTAGTGATGTGAGTAGGCGAAGAATGCATATGACGATGTGTAACGCTTCTTGTAACTCAGTGATTTTGTTGACTATCGCACGAGCACGAGAGAGCTCACCATGACATTTTCGATTTTCAATGGGATTTTATTTTGTTACTGATTTTAAATTGCGTGGCCTCATTATGTATATGTATATCGTTTTGATAAATGTGAGCCAATCGTGCAAATCATTATGCTCACCTATCAAAGGCCTTTGTATGTCGACATTTCCATTTCGATGATATTCTCTTTTCTACCATTCTTATGCTATCTCTCTCCCCCTTTCCGCCCTCCCTCTCACTCTCTCTCTCTCTCTCTCTCTCTCTCTCTCTCTCTCTCTCTCTTCCGCACTGTCTCTTTGTGGCTACGGGAATTTATGCACAGGAATGATTTCCAAAGGTTCGAACTGGATTTATCGTTTCTTTGAATCTAAATGAATAACATACGTCGCATTGCATGGAGAATCGAATTATTTATTTACCGTCACCGTGTGCGCTTCGAGAGTTTCTATTTGGAGAAAGCAGAAAATTCGAAATAGAAATTCGCTGTAGTGTGTGGTATTGTGCATTTCTGCTATTCACCGAATAACCATACACCAATATATACATTCCCGAAATCAATTAAAACCGTCCAACAGATTATCTACTCAAATGAAGTGAAATTAAATGGTTACGAAATCCTTATCATTTAATTCGTGAAGGATAAACTGTGTGCCGGGAAACGAAGAAAATGGTGCGCCAGTTAATTTAAATGGGTTCTGAAAGCGATTCCGTGTATATTGTTAAGCAGCTGCTACTGTCGCACTCTGCACGATATCAGGATTTTATTGATGATGGCTGCGCCTTTTCCTTTCGCCCCAGTTCGACACACACTATATCGACGGTTTTTGTATCGTAATTTTGATTTTATGGCAAACCATTTTTTTTCTTTTTGTTATCCAGAAGTTATAGCCACTCAATAAAACTAAAGACCAATTTTTCCTCTTTTTCTCATTTTTTTTCTCTGTTATAGGTAAGTTAAAAAAAGACGAATAATAATGAAACCATAAAACAAAGTCTCGACTGCATCGAATGAGGTCTGTGAATTTCCAAACTTATGAACCGAAAGATAAAACGAATTAAATCTAAAGCGGTAGGTAGGTAGTTTCAAATTAAAAATAATTACGACTAAATCAACAAAATGATGAAAAAATGTTAAGCATTTTGGGGATTAAATCCATCGTTGATAAACAACCGTATCAACATCGGTAGAGAAAGGTAAATATTGATAACAAAAGATTACGGGAGTTATTCTTAAAATTCAGAAAACCCGTCAATCCATTCACGTTGAAATGCAGTAATACCATAACGGTAAATATGGATATGGCATGAATGCCATGAAAAACTAACATTAACCGCCGATGAATGTGAGTGCGCGCGCTCACGTTTGCGTTCATAGTTATCGGTATCGTTATTCAAACAAAACAATTGTATGAAATAGACGAGCGCCTTCATCAAAAATGTAAAAGCATCCAAAACCACGGGAAAATGGTGTAGTTTTATGCAAACATTCAATTGGACACAAGAGAGAACATCGGCAAAAGCGATAAGTTTCCGTGCGGGTTGTGTCACAAGTCACACAATTTTCGCGTGTTTGATTTCGTGCCGAAATGTCTATTGGGTAAAGAATTGTTCATCCTGATATTATACAGGCGATGCCCTTTGGGACGCTCAACGTAACGCTTGCCTTTATGCGTATTATTCGAAATATGTTCAAAAACCGAACAACACACCACATTATTATCAACGGCATGACAGTCACATGTACCGTATTGCCTGCAGATTAAAAACGAAAAATACACGCGAAATAGACGCGAACGACGTTCGCTTGTAATTGTTCATTTAGTAATGAAAAATAGAATGCGAATAGTCAAGTTGTCACGGCACTTTATTTATTCGCACACAGAACTGGTCGCATGTGTGTGTGTGTGTACTTAGAAGGTGAGCCAAAATGAATGGTTTTGTGATGATGAGCTTAGTCTGTGTGCATATCGATGTCATTCACAAACGACTCTATCTAAACAGAGAACTCGGTCGATTTTTCATGAAACGTGCTCTTACACAGACACACACACACACACGTATATTCGAAATGATTTCATCGATAAACACTCTGAGCATTGAATCGGTTATTCATTGTAGAATTTAATTCGCCTGAATGATCGGTTCTTACTACGCGCTAACTCATACCACCACACGAGGCGATTTTATTCCAGTTTTGGAGCTGCTTTTGTTTACATTTTTTTCTCTTCATCTCATTCGCTTCGTATACATAACACACAAAGTTGAGTGTTCGCGCGATGTGGTGTTGTTATTGTCAGCGGGCCTATACGTGTTGTTTACTGCAGCAATCGTCGCGTTTTCAGTCGATGGCTGACATCGAAGTCGAACGTTGTGGTTACTTATATTTTTAGAGG